CCCCTTCCTCCATCTCGAGTGGTTTAGGTTGGGTTTCTCGCGTATCCTCTGAAATGCAGTTAGAGCTTCTACCGGTAGTCATGAGGCACATACTTCATAGCCAGCGACACCAATCCTTCGTTTTTTCTTTCTTTTTTCTTTTTCTTTTTCCCTCCTTCGCATTGTTCATGTGCATGGAGGAAGGAAGAGGCTGTGTCCCCCCCCCTCCCCCCCCCCCCCCAAAAAAAAAAGAAGATCCTGTGTGGGGGAGATGTTATGGACCGTTCAAGAGGGACACATAGGGCTGGGCTCATCATGGCCCGTCTTCGATCTGAACCGGGTTTTTTTTTTTTTTTCTCTATCTAACCAAATATGCTGAAAAAATAAAAAAGAAGACTTCGAAGGGAGGAAGAGGCTATGGAAGAGAGGAGGGGGGAGTGGGGGGGGAGGGGGAGGGAGTTGTGTGATGGATCGGTGAAGCGGGACACGTAGTGCCGGGCTCATCATGACCCACCTTCGATCTGCGTAGTTTTTTTGGTTATATTTTTTTATTCTCTATCTGACCAAATATGCTGAAAAAAAAAGAAAAAGGCCTCCGACACGCTTATAACCAGGTTAAAGATGCAAAAGAAAATATTATCTCACAGAGTAAGCTTATTTAAAAAAAAAAAAAAAATGGCGAAAAAGAAAGCCTCGTCATGACCCATATTGGCCCCTCGTGGGGGGGGGGTGGAAGGAGGGGGAGGGCGGATAAAAGCGCGTTGGCGTGCACAATCATTTCCCTAGAGAGAGAGAAAGGAGAATGTAGAAAGAAATGGACATGGAGGAAGGAGGGAGGGAAGGGTAACAGAGACGGGGAGAAATAACGAGGTGGGAGAACGGAGCATACGGAAAGAGAGGAAGAAGAGGAGAGAGAAGACGGAGGAGGAAAAGGAAGGAGATGGAGGTAGAGGAATAAAGGAGGAGAGAATGGGGGGAAACACAATGAAGAGGGATAAGAAAGAACGAAACGAAAGAGTTATATGAAGGAGAGAGAAAGGAAAAAGAAAGGTGATGCAGGACGGCAGCGCTCCGGACAAGCAGGGATGTAAAAGTCGAGGAGGGGAAAGTGGGGGATGGTGGGGGAGGGGGAGAGGAGAGGGGGAGGGGAGAGTGGGGGATGGTGGGGGGGGGAGAGAGGACGGGAGGGGGTCGTGAAGAACAAGGGGGGGGGGGGGGGGGGGGGGGGGGGGGGGGGGGGGGGGGGGGGGGGGGGGGGGGGGGGGGGGGGGGGGGTGGGGGGGGGGGGGGGGGGGGGGGGATGGGGGGGGAGGGAGAGAGGACGGGAGGGTGTCGTGAACAACAAAGTAAGGTGGGGGAGGGAAGTATGCGGGAGGGGAGTGTGGGGGAGGGGAGAGGAGGGGAGGCTGTCGTGAACAATAAAGGAGTGTGGAGGAGGGGAGAGAGGGAGGGAAAAGTGGGAGAGGGTGGGGGAGGGGAGAGGGCAAAAATGCACAAGAAGAACATATCCAACTGAGTACGCACACAATTTTATTTTATTTTTTAAGACAAAAAAGTGACAAAAAAACAGAAATATGCATATGGCACACATCTGTAGCCGGTAATCATCACCCTACTCTCTCCTCTTTCCGTTCGGCCACGCCGCACCACTGACCAACTGTGCAAAATGAAAATGAATCTTCCCCAAGAACATGGAAAGATGCACTCGCCATATTTCTGTCTTTTTCGCATTCGGTGAGTAGTGCGTCGATGCCCTCTGCGCCGTTCACCTATTCTTACGTAACTTCTGTCATCAACTACTTTGTTATTTGCATTATTTTTTTTTCCGAGGCGATAACTACTTTGCTATTTGCATTTTTTTTTTCAGAGGCAATAATCGTACCCAATTACTATCCGAAAAAATATAACGAGTATATATTCTTTTGATTGATGTAATGCTACGATCATTATAGCTGTATTTTGGGCAACTTTGAGTCTAGATACAGCGATAATGACTGTGTGCGTTGTACTCGGGTGAGGACCGGTCGCCACTGACCAATTACTAACTATCGTTACATGCTTTTTCTTCGCGTGGCGACCGGTCCTCGCCTGAGTACAACGCACACAGTCATTATCGCTGTATCTAGACTCAAAGTTTGCCCAAATACAGCTATAATCATCGTCGCATGTAGCATACGTTGTAATCGTGTGAAGACGGTAGGCGTCACGTCAGCCAGTTAGCTGCGGCTGAAATATTTGGTGGTCCCACAAAGGCGATCTGGGGAAAAGCACCCCCGGCCTAACGAGTGCCAGCTGCGCGCAACCTGGCCATAATCTCGTCGGGGGGGGGGGGAAAAAAGGGCAAAAAAAAAAAAAAAAAAAAAAAAAAAAAAAAAAAAAAGGAAAAAAAAAAAACCCTCTCTTTTTATGGAAAATCCATGGAAATGAACAGAAAGACGACATTCTCAAGACT